AGCAGGCTACCAGCATGGTGCTAGTCGCTTGAGCTGAGTGAGCCAACCCCCGACGGCAGCAGACGCGTGTGGTTTCAATGTTGTGATTCCCTCAGCGTTATGCAGTGAATAGTTCGTGTACTGCCAAAGTTAGAAGGGGGTGAGTGTTTCCTGCAGAGGAGATAAGTTAGTGTCAGTGTAAGTATTAGTGTCGAGCTAAGGGAGGGGGGTAGAGTGGAGGAAGTAAGGAAGTTCGACGAACTAGTAGCTCAGCTTCCATGTCTTTAAACTAACCTACGTCATGTGGTTCTGCGAAACAAGACCAGTCCGACAGAGACAGATCGGATGTAGTGAGACAGTCGGTATGGGGGTGGGACGTCCGTGTTTTGTGTCTGGTCTACGTCGGGTTTCCAAGATACTCTGTCGTCCCCTGTTGTGCACTCCTGTGGCCTGAAAGAGCCAGCCTTGTGTGTCATGGTCTGGTGTGAAGTCTTTTTACGTTTAGATGTTGGTGTCTGTCTGTCTGAAGCGTCTGTCTGCACTTTTTTTGTATTGTCTGGGCACTAATGGTTTATGTGTTGCTCTCTGTTCATTTATATGGCTTTGTTGTTCGTGTTTATGTTGCGTGTGTGCGTGCAGTTCGGTGCTTGCTCTTGAGCAGGAGAATTAAGCACACACACTGATGATGGGATTATCTTGAAATATTCCTGCAGCTGGGGAGGTGTGTGGGGGATTTTTTTTTGGATATTGGGGGAGTTGTGTAGCGAATTATAGGGGCAGGACGGGTGGGATGTGAGTGGGTGAGAAGAGAGGAGAGGTCAGAGTGAAGGAGAGAGTGAGTGGGTGGGGAGGGAGGGAGGTGAGGGTCCGTATGTAAGTCTCTGTTTGACTGACGTGTGTGCATTGAGCTGCAGTCCACCAAAGCCCAAAGTTCAGCTGTGTTTTTGAGGGTTTTTGGTGGAAATCTGTGTGAGAGCATGTCGGCCCCAGTAGTATAATAAGTGTGTAGCATTCTTGCCCCCCCCCCCCCTTTGGCACACTTACACACACCTTAAGCTCTCAAAAAAAACTCAGGTCTGTTGATTGTACGAGTTTGGATGTGCTTAAATTTGAGCTGTTCAGTGTTGCTGCCTGTTGGGTTACAATGCACTGCAGTCAAGGCAAGACCTTTATACCTTAAAACTTTGGCTGAGTATTGAGTAAATAGTGAAAACTTTTTTTCCCACAGCAGGAAGAAAAATATATCTTTTCAACCCAATATGTCCACCTATCAGTTTAAGATGGTTCTGTTGTGTGCATGTAAAATCAAGGTTCTTGTTCTCTGTGATGTTGCTGAAGCTGAATAAAGTTTGTTTCTTTTATCCCCAAGCTGTTCTAAAATGACTTCGAAATGCATTAGAAATAAATTTCCATTTAATTATTATTTTTTATTTCTATAGCTCCACACTCCTATAATTCACGGTTAAGTATTTGATTTGATTACTACACACAGTGAGTGTTTGGAGTTCATTGTCCACTTTAAAGTTGTGCTAGTAACGCCATGTAATGTGTAACGTTTCATTGACAAAGTCAGACAGACGATTACTCTCTAGAACACGACACACTGACATCACCTCATGGATGACTTGAAAACAGTTAGTCATCAAGTTGTCTAACAGTTGTGTTGATTGTGCTTTGTATTATGTTTCCCAGAATTCTCTTGAGTGAGGATTTTGATGCACAACTTCTCCGTTTCCATAGAAGTTGTGCATTGTTGTGTGCTGTATGTAGGTTTGAGGCTGCAGGTTGAGGTTGCATCAGGGTTGAGGTGGTGTGGAGGAACGAGAGGCGGATAGTAGCCGAGTTCCTGCACGGTGTCACTCTGTCTCAGTGGACCCCCCCGCCCCCCTCCCCACCTCTCTTTCTCTCCTGGCCTCACATACACTTCCTCCATCTCTCTCCCTCTGTCCTTCGCTCTTTTATCCCCCCTTCTTCTTATCTGTCTAAACCTCTCTGTGGAGCTCCCCCCTCCTCCCCTCACCACCTCCCTCTCACTACCTCTCGCTCTTTCTCTCTCCCCTCCATGTCCCCCTCCCTTACACCCCCCCATGCTGTTTCGGTGCTGCTGCCTGTCTCTTAGCAACAACTGCACACCCGTTAGAGCTCAGTGAGTGCTTTTACAAACACACCCAGGAAGACACACTCATACACGCGCAGACACACACACACACGCGTGCGAGCACAAACACATCCACACACACGCAGGGTCTAGTTCCTCATTGAGGGTTGCTGCTGGCAGGCCTGTGAGTCTGCAAGCCTTTGTGGCAGTGAGATAGATGGGAAGAGAATAGATATGCTGTACAGCTACCATATACAGAATGATTGTTTCTCTCAGACTATGCACAACAGGGCAACTGCCCAAACTGGAAAATGACAGGTTCTCGTGTCTGATTTCGCACTGGCATGTGCGCACATACACTCTGTGGCGCGCAATGTGGTTGCCTTTTCTGTAAACACCACCGCAGCACCAAAAACTTTTATGCGCAGATGAAAAATGTACAAGATCCAAACATTTCAAGCAATATCATCTGGTAAGAGAGAGCTGCTCTTTGTGAAACAGATTCAACAGATCATCATGTGGGAGCACTGCACACCATCGGCTGTTTTCACAGAGACAATACTACGCCACTGTGTGTTCCAAAGCCCCAGAGCCATTCACAGTAAAATGCACCAAAACGCATTCGCTACGTATGACGGTGAATATATTGGAATGGCGGCTGATGGATGCCAGGAGTGTTTGCTTAAACAATGAATCATAGTGGGAGCGTTCGATTGGCTGGGATCTAAGCCCTGTCACAATGTCCCCCGCCGAGCACAGTAGAGAGATATTTGCATGTGTGTCTTTGTTTTGTGTGTGATTGTGCATGTCTGTATATGTGTGCATGTGACATGTATGTCTTTATGTGCAAATCGATGTGTGGGAGGATGAAGCTGTGGGGGCAAATCAGAATGTGTTTTTGTGTGTTGGTATGTGTCACCGTGTGTGTGTGTGTGAGTGACAGTGTGTGCATGTATGTGTAAGCACATGTGCAGCAATGTTTAATTAAAGCATGTGTTCTTCTCCTTCTCTCACACGCCGGTCAGATGGAGCCTTAATTAATGAATGCTGTTAATTAGACGAGAGGGAAAGTGAGAACGAGAATGGGAGAGAAGGGAGGGAGGGCGGGAGAGAGACAGAGAGACAGAACCGGGCACGGGGAGGGAGTGGGTGAGGGGGCTAAAGAAAGTATGTGTTGTGTGTGTGTGTTCATCTCCATGTGTGTGTCCCAGTTGTGTCATTCCTCAGAGCAGCAAGGCATTGAGGTTGGTCTGCTCCATGTGTGCAGCCCCAAAGTCTGCAAAACTCTCACACTCCTCCTCCTTCTCCTCCTCTACTGCTTCTTCCTCTCCTTCAACTTTTTTTCCCTCCCTCTTAAATCCGTCTGCCACTGTCTATCCCTTTTCCTACCATCCTTTCCGTGTCTCAATCATGTCTTTCACCTCCCCGTACTTCTGCCCTCTCTCATACTTTCTCACCCATTCACGCACTCCTTCCAGTGTCTTTCGCCCCCTCCCCTCCCCTCCCCGTCCTTCTCCCTCCCTCCTAATCAGAGCCATATGTTGGAGAGGGAGGCAGGGAGATCTGAGGATGGACAGGATTGTGTTGTATGTAGAGAGTGTGGTACAGTGTTGGAGCCAGCCGTGCGCATATGTGCGTGGAAGTGTGGCACACATGCTTGTATTTGTGTTTGAATGTGTGCAGGGATGCAGTCACGTGTGAGTCTAACAGCACGTGTGGGCCAGATTTCGTAAGACTTTGTTTCTGGTCTGGCTGTCTGTACTTCCATTTCTCTTCTGCTCTGGGTTTCTATAATCCTTCCATCGTTCCTGTCTTTCTGTCACCTTCATCTCTCCATCCTCTTAACACCTCTCTATTCATCACCTCTCTGCTTCCCCCTGGTGGCTGTGATTATTCACACATTCTCATTCTTTCTGCACCCTCAAAGTCTAGTGCTTTGTAATGCATTTGAATAGTTTTGGTGAAATGTGGCATGCAGTGTGACTGTGTGTGTGTGTGTGTGTGTGTGTTTGCGCTTTCACCACTATTAATTGTTCATTATAATTTATGGATTTTGACAACATCTACTCCATCAAATATGGTGAGATTGAAAAATGTGGCGCAAGTCTGGTGATCATCATGTAGTGATGATCCTCGTGTTTGTGTGTTAGTGAGCACATTGAAAATCCAGTAGAGTAGACGAAGTGGCAATGGTTTCCATGTGTACCTACAATCTGCTGGTGCGCATAGAAATGAAATACTAACTACAATTGGAGTTAAAAAATTTATATTGCAAGTCATCTTCCAAAATAATTGCGTCTGGTGCGAGATGGTGCAGCCCTCACCAAAATACTGATTCTAGTCTGGTCTGATGCATGCTGTGACATCATGTACTAATCTCTAATTCTCTTTTTCTTTCTGCTCCACCCTCCTCCACACTCCTTTCTTTTTCTCCCACCTTCTTCAACTCCCTGTCCCTTTCTCTGTCTCTCTCTTTCTTTCTCTCACTCTAGCAACCATGGGCAAAAGACAGGAGCAGAGGGGAGAGAGAGAAGTATGTGAGCTCTCCACTGCAGTATTGATGACCCAATGATCCCCTGCAGAACAGAGCCAGTCAGGCAGACAGAGTGAGGCTCAACTCAGAATCAAAATCAGAATCAGCGCCACAACCATTCGGTAAAAGCAACCAATTGAGCAGGATATGAATGGTAAATGTAATCTAATGTTGTAATGCGGCTGTGTGGGTGGCAGTTAATAGAGTAGAGTGCATTACGGATTAGGTTTATGGCCCATTGCCAAAAATGTTGACGATTATATCACACAACTACAATTTCATCTATGCTGCAAATGTTTGATTTTTTACATGTAAAGTGCTTGAAACCTTACAGTGATCAATATATTTACAATCAAGGAGTTTAGATTTCATGTCTTAGTGCAACGGGTTGATGTTAACCTATTTGTTGACTTCCTATCCAGTTGATAATATTGTTTTTATTTCTTTCCATAGGTCCTTGAATCTTCTTGCCAGCTGTTAGAGGAAGACAGCTACAAAGAAGAAACACGAATTTTCATACAGCAGAAAACATCACCCTCTTTTTCCTCCCTCAGTACCAGCAAGACCGTCAATTGAATGAGTGGCTTGTCAGATCACCTACATTCAGGCCAAACTGGGGCTCCAGTGGGCTGTGGTGGGACTCAGGCAGAGGTAAAAGCGTGTGTGGGGGGGCTGGAGGGGCTGGCGGGACCTGAGCTCTGGACCAGGGAGCTCGGGCTCCAGGAGGGGTCCCAGGATCCCTCTAACGATGGACTGGCACCGGTGACTTCCGACCACTTTCCCTCCTCCTCTCCTACCGCCCTGGCCAACGGCCTCCATCTGCAGAGACGGCTGGCGCACAGCTCCTGCCGGCGGAGGCAGACAGAGACTCATACTACTGCTGAGACGCATACATTTGCAGAGACACTTAGAAACATGCAAACGCACACAGACCCAGATGTGCATGCACACGCTGTTTCACACTCACACATAGATAATTGTGGACACATGGATATCAACACACATACAGGGTCTGTAGTGCCAGAACGCTCCAGAACTCTCACACCAGAGGCCATACACACAACTTCACCTCAAGCCCTGTCTTTGGCACATGGCAATCATCCTGCCTCCACCAATCAGCTGGCAGCACCAGTCCTCACTGCAGAGACAGACATGCCCTCAACCTTTTGTCCAGTCCCTGGTGGTCCAAACCCAAACATAGGCTCCTCTCCTCTTCCTGTGGAGGCAGAGAAAAAGTATGCACTCCGCAGCTCTGGACGTCCCCGCTTCCCCTGTCACCTGCGCAAATCCTCCCGCCTCCGCCGAAGCATAGAGGATGTGGAGAAGAGAGCAGGGAGAGAGAGGGGGGGAGAGGAGGAGCATGAAGTATTGGAGGAGAAGATCTGGAGGGTTAAAGAGGAGGAGGTGGCTGTTGTTGAGAAAGAAGAGCGTTCGTCTGTGGAGGCTGTTCTCCCCACGGTTCCCTGCCCTACAGACATCGCTTTTGCTCTAACTGTACCTAAACCTGTTCCTAAAGCCATACCAAAACCTGGACCCAGATTGGGGCATAGACCTGGCCCTAAATCCAGGTCTAGACCCGCACCAAAATCTGTGCATAAAGCAGCTCCTAAAAGTGTCATGAGAAAGCGTCAGGCAGCCCAATCCATAGCTCATCGCGCTACCCCTCATCTCTCTTTTGCAAACACATCCACCATCCCTGCACCTTTGCTAGCTGTGAAGGACGAACCTGTTGCAGACTTGGGGGCATCTACTTCCGGTAACCGGAGACGTGGGCGCTTTGTGGGCGTAAGTTAATTTATAGTTACGTATCATTGTAGTAACTCATTGACCTAAATTTCATATCATGTATGGAATACATTTATTTGATTTGCATATGTTTTATATTGGTCTCTACTTTACAGGTGAGGAAGATTGTTGTCAAGGTGGCTCGCATCCCTGTGAGCCTTAGCCGCCGACAGAAGAGCTACAAGATTTCCAACTTGGAGACAGTTACAGGGACAGAGAAAGGCCAAGATGGTAGTGTGGAGGGCCCAGAGGTTGTTCGAGAGCCGACTGCACTTCTCCGCATGAAGAACAATGGAAAGAGTGTTATGGTGATGTTCCCCCCTGGTGAACTGCCTGTCATACTCAAACGCAGGAGGGGACGACCACCTAAACAGCCTCTGCCTGGAATACCGGGAGAGCCTCAGAATGCTGGGAATGCTGGTGGTAATGGAGACCAGCCCAAGAAGCCCCAGAGGCGACGTCGGACTAAACTCCCTTCCCCTTATCCATCTTATGTTAATGATACTAATGATGTGAAAACAGAGTATGGGGATGTTCTGTCCAAACTGGCCTTTTTAAACCGCCAGCCCCCTGCCACTGGCCGCTGCTCTCCCCCTCGCTGCTGGACACCCAGTGAGCCAGAAAGCTTTCATACTCCCCTGGAAAATCCTGGAATATCCACCCTGCTCCACCGGCTCACAGGGTTCAGACGCCCCCGAGGTGGCAGAGGCGGCGGCGCTGGAAGAGGTGGAGGAGGAGCAGGAGGGATTGGGGGCAGTGAGCGCAATAAGAGCACATTCAGTGACTTCTTTGAATCCATTGGCAAGAAGCGGAAACCGAGTCCCCTTTCTGAGCACGGATTACCTAGGAAAAGGGGAAAGGGTGGAGGTGGAGTTGGTAGGGGAGGGGGTATTGTAGGAACGGAGCCTGGGGGAGAGAAAGTAGTCAGGAAGAGACGTGTGAGAAAAAATGGTGCATTTAAAGGGGAGGGAGTGTCCATGGGGCAGGAGTGGCCCAATGGAGCAGGTGGCTGGGGTGAGGAGGGGGGTATGGACAAGGAGAAAGGTTTAGGTGGGTATCAGCTTTGTGGATCTCCAAGGGGGGGCTTTTCCTCCTGTGAGGTTGGAAGAGGAGGTGTCTACAGCAGTCCAGGAGGAAGCAGAGGGGTTGGGCCAGCTGGGGAGGACTCACAAGGCCTTTTTGCTGGATATTTCCGGTCACTCCTTGACTCTGATGATTCATCAGACCTGTTGGACATCTCCTCCTCGCAGTCAGATCCCCGCAAAGCTTCATCCACCCCTGGTTATGAGCCATCCAGTCCAGCTACTGGTCACAGCTGGTCCCCTGCATTCCCCAAGTGGAGCACCAAAGGTGCAAGTTCTGGGGTGGAGGGTTCAGCCCAGACACATTGCTCCTCAGCCAGGCCTCCATATAGCTATGGCAGCCTGGCCCAAACATCGCCCACCACTTCTACCTATCCCAAATCCACTCCTCCAACTCTGTCACACTCTCCTAGCTCCCCCCACCCTGCCTCTTATGGCCATTACTCCTCTGGTTACTCCACCTCTTCTCCTGCAGTGCCACAGAGATCCTCAGACTGCAGCTTTGCATATGGATCTGGACACAGCAGTGGCAAGGCCACCACTGTTGGTCAAATGGGTTATTCTAGCTACCAGGCAGCAGTCAAGCGAGGTTATAGTGGATATTCTGTGACAGGTCATTCCTCCATACTGCGGGGGGAGTCGACAGGACCCACATCACCAGGAGGAGCGTACATGTCTGTGGCCAAAAGTAGCCCCTTCAGCTCCTCCTCCTCTCCAGAAGGTTACAAACAGTACAGCTCCAATCCGTGGAGCTACAGGTAAGTTACTTGTGGTGGCCTGTCACCCTAAAAACAATTATTAAAAAAGTATTGCTGTGAAATAAAGACATTTCTGAATGGCTTTTTCAAACATGAACTTTTTATGAGGTTTTAATGAATAGGTGGTTAAATGTTTTCTTCAACTAAAAAAAGAAGTACAAACTAATAAAAGTCTGACCAAAGCAGGATCAAAGAGATATGAATTACTTAAATAAATGTTTAACTCCAGCACACCATTTTCAATTTTACAATGTCCACCATGTGCTAATTAACAGTCGATACCTGACATTAGTTAACTAAGGGCTGAAACGTGCACTGTATTTATCCAGATTAGGAATCCATGGTCAGAAC